TAAATAGGGAGGGATGGAGGGGTTGAAGGGAGGGCAGGGGAAGGGGGAAAAATAAGAACCAAGAGAGATTATGTAAAGGTGCAAATTTCCAATGATGACTGTCATTATATTGTATACCTAAAATGTACCTATAAAATAAAATTTAAAAAAATAGAACATTGCTATATATACCCTTAGTGCTCAACCCAAATTGCCATTTGAAAAATTTCAGTGTACAAATTAGACAACCCTATCATACCTGATCCATCAAAACTGCTGCCTTGTAAAATTAATGATTTGTTTCTTTGCTTTATCTTCTTTCTTTTTTCTGTACCACCTTCAGATTCGTGGATGTACTCCACATTAAACCACAGTGAGACACTGAAACCTTCTGACAGGTGTGGCCAGCAGTTCTGCCCCAGCAATGGCAAGTGGACTGGGGCTATGTGCCAAGAGGAAAGAAGCCGGTGGGGAAAATTCTCTCTATCAGCCCCTTTCCTGGCCCGTGAAATTCGTGCTCTTCTCAATAAGCCCAAGGCCTTACTATTTAGAATCCCAGGACATTTTTGTGATGAGACATTGTTGCTTAAACTTGGAGTATGCAGCAAAGGAAAAGTTAAATACTGTGAAGGGCTCATAGTAACATCACTTTCAATAATTTTCAAAATACCCAGAAGAAGAATTTCCTATAGAAAAAGACAAAGAAGTGAAAGTTTATAATCACGTACCCAGGTAGATAATAATCTTGAAATTTGGGCGACAAGTGAAAATACAGACATATCCATATATATCAGCTTTCCTATTTAAGCAGCTTTCTATCACATCTTTAAAATTTCCATTTTTGTTCAGTTAAGATGAAATATGAAACGTATTTTATTCTTAAAATATATAATCTTGTGGTTAATTTGGTTTCAATTTAGATATTTTTAAGGTACATATGTAACATTTATGAGTTAGTTTTGTCAAGAATATTATCATCAGGAATCATTTGAACAAAATAAAGATGATTATTTCCAGGTAGTTCATTGTCTTCTCTCCATTATCTTTACTATAATCATTAACATGTATTAACTGTATGAATAAACGGAATTCATCATATTTCCAAACATGCATGCACCATGTTCGATCATAACCATCCATCCTTCTTCTACCCATCCCCCTATTTCCCCTGTCTCTAGTAATTCCTCTTCTACTTTCAGGTCCTTTTTCTTTTGGTTTCTAGTTGTTTGTTGTTTTTTTTGGTACTGGAGATCAAACTCGGGACCTTGGCTTGTGAGGGGCAGGAGAGGAACCACTGAGCTAAATCCCTGGCCCAGGTCCTTTTTCTTTGTAGTTTCCACATATGTTCTCTCAATTACTTTTTAGTTAAGTCAGGGATATATACTCAGAGACCTTCTAAGTTCTCCAGATTTCTGAATGATATTAGACAATGACTGACTTCATAAAACTGAGTGCTCAGTTATACTGTAACTTATTCATGTGCTTTTTCCCTAGTCAAGTACATTTTCTTTCATCTGTGTTTGGCAAATTGAAATAAGGTTTTATTCATAAGATTTTGTTGAACTGAAATATAAAAAATGATAAGAACAAAGAGAAGAATGACTAAGGTAAGATAAGTAAAGAGCAGAAGAGTTTAAACTAGTGCAATGCCCTATTTATGCATAAAGCAACATCTACTGTTGATTATCATCAGGGAGTGCACACAGGAGAAATACTAGAAGCCTTCCATAAATATTTAGCCAGCTCTAAATGATCCATTGATCAGTTTTTAACCTGTGTCCAACAGAGCTTCCCTGGGAGCCATGGAATGGAGTGGCAGGGAAGTAGGTAGAGCTCTGAAAGAGCCCATCTTGCTTCACACAAAACATGAAGTTTTCTGTTGTATCTGGTTATGCTTCTATTCAGAGTTTCATTATTAAAAATGAGTATCCCAGGGCCGGGGAAATAGCTCAGTGGTTCTGGCGCCTGCCTCGCAAGCTCAAGGTCCCGAGTTTGATCCCCAGTACCAAAAAAAAATGAGTATCCCAGCCACTAAAAGCCACTAAGATATACCAATGAAAAGGAAAATATGGGAAATAACTGAGGAATGGGCAACAATTTTTTAGAATTGTCTTTAAAAAGGCTGTAATTACTCATCATTAAATTCTCCTTAAAATTACTTAGCATTCCTCAAGCACAAAGGTTGGAGGTGCAGTGGGTTAAAGGCACTATAATCTGGTTAGTCAAAATTGAAGTGAAATAAAATATACATAATTAATAAAATAATCAATTACTTCAAACATAACATGGAATTGACTGTATAATAATTGCCATACCAAAGGAAAAAGCTTAGTGACTTCTAAATAACTTTTTAAAATATTCTATTGAGGTACATATAAATGTAAAAATTAGAGCATATTTACTGTACAAGGAGATTTCTCCAGAAATATCCTCAAAAGAAGGGTTAACTCTTCTGAACATGTTCTTGAACTCATCAAAAATACCAAGAGATCCACCAACACTTTCTGGCACACTAAATGTAAAAAAGAGGGGAAAAATTAAAGCCAGTACACATTTAATTAAAGGAAATGAATATGTAATTTCACAGAAAAATATACAATACTATTTTAAGTCTAGTAATCACAAACTTTGCTGAAGAAATAGCAAGATAACTAAATGAAAACTGACCTACCAAGTAACAAAAACAATATTCTTAAATATCTATTGGCTATGAGTAAACTAAAAGTTTTTTTTTGGTGCCGGGAATCTAACTTGGGTCCTCACACTCGTGCAGACTAAAGGTATTTTTTAAAGAAGCATAAATCAGTAAAGTATTTGCTAGATAAACTAATATTCATTCCAATACTACATAATAGTTTGCTATCTTCTCATTTTGAAATGTTTAAATTATAACATTTACTATCATTTACTACATGGAAAATTGAATGATAGAAATAACAGTAGAAATATTAAAGGTTATATACATACTTAAAATACTTATCACAGTTTGAACATTCTACTAAGTTTAGGATAAAACACAAATAATGGTATACACAAATTCATAGCATTCTTTACAGTACATAATAATTGTTTATAGAGCACAAATGTATAGTGTTCCAAGTATATTTTCACATGCATTATCTCTGCTGACCCTCACCAAAAAACAAAAACCTAAGAATCAATTATTACCTCCATTTTACACATGACAAAAAAATCTTGAGCTAAACCTTGAGATGTATCTTAAAAGACTGGTAATTTTGGAAGACCTGGAAGTCAGAGAATAGAAGCCAGGTTTAAGCACCCTGTTTTGCAAAGGCAGTGAGTGGATGCAGTAGTATAACAGGAGGCACGTCAGGAAGACAATTGGGAACAAGAGTATAAATTAACAGAGACTTTATCCTTTAAGAAATATGAACCCATTAAAGGTTTCTGAGTAGGAACGTAACACTGTAGTGTGCTTAGATTTCTTTTTTCAGTTCAAAACTAACATATTTTAGTTTAGAATAAGGAAACAGATATATACACCTATATAACTGCTTCTATATACTATTGAAGATTCAATGCATTAAAGTACAAAATGGAAAAAAAATCTGTAATAGGAGAGAGAGTCTGAGAGAGAGAAAGACAGAGAGACAGAGAGAGGGAGAATGAATAGAGGGAGGGCAGTGAGCATTGTGAAAGAGGCAAAAGATTAAAAACTATTTCTTGAAGGTGAAGAAGTAAATGAACAAAAGAGAAAGCTACACGGGCCAGAGATTTAGCTCAGTGGTTCTGCCGCTTGCCTCGCAAGTGCAAGGATCTGAGTTCGATCCCTGCTACAAAAAAAAAAAAAACCAACCAAAAAAAGAGAAAGCTACAGCCTAGAATTCCTTTGCATTATAAAAGGGCTTGGAGCAGTGGGAGCCAATCTGTTTCTCTAAAGTTGGGAAAGTGTAAGAGTGTACCTGAAAGCAAAGAAATTAATGAAATGTCTGTCTGTGGTTATCTACCTCTCTCCTATATCTGCATACAGAGCACAGATAGCTCAGCTTTCCCTTTTAGGCCCAAAACTTGAAAACTCTTCTCTGAAAAAATGGTACGGATTGCCAGGGAAAAGCTCAGATGTATAGCAGTGTGTTAGCATCAGGGGTACTAAGCGTAACTATATAGTCTGGAAGTTGCCTAACCAAAGGGAAAAATTGGGAAAATAGACTGAACACTGTTTACCAAACTGTCCTGATTTTGGGCTGTGTTGCCTGGACAAAGGAAGGGATGCCTTTTTCTTAGCAGGAAGATGCTGTCTGATAGCCTACATATGGAGAACGTATTTTCCTATAGTACACAAAGAGTTCTGTGAGGTAATAGCGGCCCTAATGATTCCCTGAGAATTTCTCTTTTCATTAGGGTACAGGGGAACCTCCAATCATCCACTGGCACATCTGCCCAGAGTTCTTCAATAGAACATCCATTCAAGGAAGAGGGCCAAAAGAAAAACAAATTTACTTCTACAACACTAGAGGAAATCTCCAACAGCATTCTTAAATATAAATAGGCAGTAAAAAAGTTCACAAAATATTTGAGAATCAGCAATCTAAAAAGTAATCCTAACATGTAAAAATCCAATAAATTTATAAACTGACCCTAGAGAAAAAAGAAGTAATTTAGGGAGATGAAAGAAATCTGTTTAAAACGTTAATAACAATATCCAGATAGATGATGTTATATATGCGTAGATGATGTTATGAAAAACCCCCAGAAAATAACCAGACAAAAATAGCTCTTAAATATTAAACAGATAATTGCCAAAATTCAATACTAAAAGATAAGTTGGAATAGGGCTGGGGATTTAGCTCAGTGGTTTCGCCACCTGCTGTGCAAGCACAAGGACCTGAGTTCGATCCCTGGTACCAAAAAAAAAAAAAAAAAAAAAATAAGTTGGAATTGAACTGAAAAAAAACCTTCCAGAATATAGTATAAGAAGAGAGAAGTTGATAATATGAGACATGGCATATGTAGAGTCAACCCAAGGAATCAAGATTACAATAGTATGCAAGAAAACAAAGAACAGAGAATACAGTGAGGAGAAAATTATTTTTAAAAATAATAAGTCTCTGTGACCTTAGGTCAGACCTTCCTAGACTTGACACCAAAAGCATAACAACAGAAGCAAGAAGCTATGACAATTAATTCTAATGTGGTATCCTGGATAGGATCTGTGAACAAGAAAAGAACATGAGGTAAAAACTTAGGAAATCTGAATAAACTATGAACTTTAGTAATAACATAAAATAGAAGTTAACTGTAATACATGCACCATACTAATGTTACATGGTGGTAATAGAGGAAACAGGTGGGGAAGAGTATAATCTGGAGTGTAATATACTCATACATTAAATAAGTAAATGGGGGGGAAGGGAAAACTTTTTCTTACAGTACAACCTCAATTAATAAATGCAGAAAGAATGACAGAAATAGATAAACGCTATTTGGTAAACACCACATATTAACTGTTTCCATCAGATATCAGCAATGGAATAAAATTCATGGGGTTAAAGTCTGATGAGTATGATGAAAAAAGGGATATTTACATATTTTCAAGTTACCACTCCATAAGATACTTATTAATCACAAGAGGAAAATATTTAACTTTACAAAGGAGAAACCCAGAAGATACCACTTCAACCAACATTACTAGTAATAAGATACAGACATCATAAACCCCTTGATGTGATGCCCTGAGGAGAGCTCAGCAGCACTTCTGAGGATTCCCGCCAAAAATGTATAACCTGAATTTAATCAGAAAAAAATAGCACACAAACACAAGTTAACATCTCCTTTGTGCTTCAGTCAAAAATTTAGGTTTATTCTGGTTAAAAATCATACTTTATATTAGTCTATGGATTTCTCAAATGTCTGAAAAGTACTGAGCAGGGAGTAGATAATATTAGATAAGGCAGCAGTATAATGATTATACCGGATTACAGTCTCCGCAATGTCAACTGTGAACAACGCAATCACTTAGATTCTTGATTCTTCTTTTTATATAATAAAGGTACTCATACTATGTCTAGTTCATTGAATGGGTCTGAGGAGCAAATGCGATGCTGAATATGAAAATACTTCTGAAATCACATAGCACAATGCTACTGGAAGCCATAATTATCTCACAATAGTAAATGATTATCACAAATACAAATTATTTTAAAGCTGTTTAAAATTAATAGTTTTAACTCACCTTGAAAATCAGAATCAGCTTGTATTAAAATACTCAAGAACCCTCCTAAAAGATTTTTCACAATTCCCTGAAGATTAGAAAGTGAAATGCAAGAAATTAAATGTCTTACCTCATGGAAGCATAAAGCAACAGCAATGTCTTAAATAAATTAATAGAAAGAGATCTATTCTGTGTGTGGCTTTTCTTAAATGGCTAGAAAGAATGCTATATGTAGGATTACACATTTCTTTGTATGCCGTCTTGAATTTTCTGATTTTTTAAAATGACGAGCATACATTACAATGCAATTTTTAAAATGTTACCAATTCTCAGAAATATATAAGGATTAATTACTGGTTACCCAATGGCAATTTTTTTATATTACTTTAGAGAAATATGGAATTAGAAGATTATAGAGTGTCACTTACAGGTCAAGGCACATGTAAGGTATTTTAAAGGACAAGAGAAGGCTATACTTCCAGGGATCATTTCTATAGTTTGTTAAAGGACAAAAATTCTCAAGTAATTTTTAGACAAGTTAGGTTATAAATAAAGAGATGGGTAGTTGGGGCATGACTGTGATAAATATTGATCAAATCTAATGCCTCTTTTACCTGTTCCAAGAGCAGAAAAACATTCTTTTCTTTCTGCCTGACAATTTTCAAAAAACTCTCAAATACATGAGCAAGCACATCAAGTTTAGCTTTACTATTAGAAAGCAAATTTAATTCCAGCATACAAATCTCAGGATATATTATTTCTCCTTGAGTAAGGTTTTCAAGTAAGTCATTTGGACTGACTGTTGTACTGAAGCCTTCTGTTTCAAGCTTTAAATCCAGCCCTGAACAGGGAAAAGAAAAGATTATTTTTATACCCTCGTCACTGAACACATATTTTAGCCTTATTCAGCATTCATAAGATTCAGCATTCAAAAGTGTTACTTATAAAAAGATTCTCACAAAACCTTTTCCTACAATACTACTTTTAAGGCACATATCCTGAAAAATAAAGTCATACATAGTTTGAAGCTTATACAGTAGCCTTATAACTAATTTGGACCACCAATAAAACTAAAACTATTATCAACAGCAATTTTTATAGACATGATATAAATTTAACAACTCCCTCTAACACAAGTGAAAAAAGTACTATCCCAATCTTTCTGACCCCAAAATACCTAAATCACATGGTATTTTAATTCACTTGCTGATAGTTCAATGAAAATAGCAGCTGTAGCTACTGGTTGATTGACTTCTAAACTTTGTTTTCTTTATGTGTAAGAAACAAATGCTGTCTTACTTAATATTACATTTTAGAAAACTGATATGATCTTTAAAAAAGACTGCTGTGCTCTTTTAAAACTGTTCATATACTGATCTGCCTAAGCCAGAATCCTTTGAGATTTAGTTAGCAAACATAAAAAGGAAGTAATCTACCATTATAAAAACATACCCGTATTATAAAACCACCATCAAACCAATATTTTTTTCAAAAAGCACTGACCATGGGTTCATTAGGCCCTTTAATTAGATTATCAATGATTATTCCCATTCATTCCAAGAGGAAGAGAAATTTAACTCTGGGAAAGAAACTACTCTAAACTTAGTGAAGACTAATAGTACCGGGAAATGCATAAGGCCAGCATTTGAAAAGATAGAACCTCCCCAGAAACTTTTAGCTTTAATCAATCTATTTTTTCTATTTTACCTAAGTTTTAACCCAGAGACAAAGGATCATTATGTCATGCGCTTCCAGCCGAAGGACAAGTTGGCTTGTGAAAAACTAAGAAGAAATCTACGCTGCAGTGTCCTTGGATGTCACAAAAGGATATCTTCACCCCTTTCATTATTTATTCTTTAAAACAAACTCCCAGTGTTTGGTTAGCTCTTTTTTTTTTAAATTGAGATCTCATTGTAAATATCATCTTTTCAGAAAGGCCTTCCCTGACCACCCACCCAATCAATATTACATCACCTGGTTTTATATTCCCATGCTGTTTACTTCTGATACTTATTGTCTTTCTTTCTACTAGCAAGTATATGAAAGTAAAGACTGATTTTCCCATGCCATATCAATAGGTGTTCAGCCAATGCTCATGGTAACAAAATTTATCTCACTGCTTTATATTGCATATACAAACATCAAGAGTTGTGAAGACCAAATACAATGATAATGCAATGCCCTTTTTACAATGTAAGGAATTCAAAATTCTAAAAGTGGTATCCTTATGAACCGTTTTGCTAATTAACAATCTGACTTGCAAATCCAATGGGAAGCACATCCTGGATATTTTACCATCTTCCCGGGTTTCACCATCCTCAGGATTGCTTTCACTATCTGCTTCATAACCTCCTTCTTCAACCAAAAGTTTAAAACTACAACATTGAGAATCCTCTGCTTCTTCTGAAAAATCTCCAGGCTGGGATGATAATTCTTCCTCAGATTGATGACTCTGTAAGATTAGTGTAATTTAAAGGCAACAATTGTAACGTTCACTCATTCTTAGTAACAGAACATTTATTACTCAAAAGTCATTTTAAGGACAGAGTCAGTGAATATGTTCTTCAAGAAAAAAATATCTTAACAATAGCCATTGTAAGATTATGAAATTCACCCAATATTATGTTTTTCTCAGATAACACCTTAATAAAGCCATAGAGTTATTTCAGTTTCACTGAATAAACCTAGTTCTAGTTACACAATAGGGAACAGAAATTAATGCTAATAACTGTATGTTATTTTCATAGATTTGTTAATGAAAATAATGTCTTTCTTTTTTTGTTTTGTTTTTGTTTTTTGAGACAAGGTTTTGCTATGTAGCCCAGGCTGACCTTGAATTCACTATGTAGCCCAAGCTTGCTTCAAACTCAATATCCTCCTGGCTTAGCCTCCCAAGTACTCGGATTACAAGTATGTACCACCACACCTGGCTGTTAAGACATTTTTTCAAAGTATTTTATAAATAAAATGTTTCATAGATAACTAGAAAAGAGATGGCAATTTTTCAAAGGGAGTAAAGATTTCAGAAGGAAACTTTATATACAAACATCTCAGAAGTCAAGTTCCAGCATTAACTTCCTATGCAATACCTGTGGCAAGACATTTTTCTTTTCTCATAAAAATGCTATGGATACCTTCATTTTAGACCACTGTCACTTTTAAAAGCTAGAGTATGCTATCATTGCAACAGCAAAAAAAAAAAAAAGGAGCAAAAGGCTGGTATTTAAACATTTTACAGTTAACCAATTGAATCAGTAGAAAGATGAAAGTATTAATAGTTATTTCAGTAAGTTTTAAAGTTAAAGCAAATAGTAATATAATATAATATGGCAAATGATTATAAAGTACCATATATATATATACATAGCAAATATTAACATATATATAATAGTAATATATATAGCAAATAGTAATATAAAATAATATGGCAAACAATTATAAAATACATATATATATATATGTATATCTCAATCACTAGGCCAAAGATTTAAAAGGGAAGTTATATAAAGGAAAGCAATAATTAATCAAAGATAAAGGAAACAAAAGGAGAGGGAAATGAACTAAATATACATTGGAGATGTGTATTTTCAGAAAAAATTTTAAATTGTTACTTTAGAAAAAAATGTTGACACAAACAACTAAACTATGATTATTTTCTTTGCAAGTACTATTCATTTTTATGTTAAGTGGTTTAAACTGAGTAGAGTTCTAGAAAATTAGCTGTACCAATATAGGATCAGATGAGCTGTATTATCATTGTCCTGAATTATCATTTAATAAATTATCAGTTGTCTTTAAGATTTATCAAATCATGGGCCGGAGATTTAGCTCAGTGGTTTTGCCACCTGCTGTGCAAGCACAAGTACCCGAGTTCGATCCCCGGTACCAAAAAAACCCCCCAACAAATCAAATAAATACATTTCTATCTTACTGGGAATAATTCTTGGTAAATTTCCAGGTTACATTAAGAAAAGTATGTCATATTGCTGTTCTGTTTTTGGAGATAACACTATCCACCTCAGATGATGGCGATATGACTTGTGGACCTCACCTGTCCAAATTCAGGTCTCTACATTCTAACCACATTCATCAATGTCCTAGTCCCACCCCACACACTCCTGCCTCTGCTAGTCAAAGGCAAATAGCCCAAATAACTCCACTAAATGGATTCATACCTTCTCAGTCATAGCATCATTATGTTCAAAATCTGTTGAATGTTGCCCCAGGGCAACTCGAAGCAGGGCATCAAACAAAGGCTTTGCTAATTCTGTTTCAGTCACTTTTGACTGTGAAAGATGGTCCCTCATTTCACATAATATATTTTCCACAGATAAGTTCTGAGGCAAAATAAAAGAGACTAAAAATATTAATAACATGTTTTTAAAACAGAGACAAAATAAATAGCAATTATTTAAAACACAGAAAACTAGTCCATTTACTTGCCATTGATATGAAGGTAATTGTATAAATTTTAAGATCTACCCAAACATTCTATTGTTAAAATTAATAACTTCTGTGTGCATGTACATGGTATTAGGCTTTTCTTTCTAGACAGTGTTTCACTAAATCACTAAGTTTCCCAGACTGGACTTAAACTTGCAGTCCTCCTGCCTCAGCCTCCCTCAGTACTAGGATTATAGGCATGTGCCACCACTTTGGGCTAACAACATTTTTCCTTATCAAATACATTGTTCATTTAAATTTTAGTGTACCAGTAATTAATTATATCATAAAATTATTCTTTAAAACTTCAGAGTTTGAATTAACCATCTTTAGAGTTTATAAATCCCTTATTCTTGGAGATTCCCCAAGATTCCAAGAAGCAGTTGTATTCTAATTTTTTTCTCTCACTCCTTCCCTTCTGGCCTTAAAGGAAGCTCTTGCTGTTTGCCCATATCTCTAAAATAGGTTATGAGACCATAAAGATGGATAAGAAACTGACTTCTCCTTTAACAAATTCTCAGTTCAAAATGAGAAATAGGTACAAACAAGATATGATGACAATTATACAAGAGGTAGAAACAAAGGTAAGGGGCCCAGGCAGGGCACTCAACAGCATCACACTGAGAATGTAAACTCTGAAGTCTGAAACAATTTCCAGACTTATCTGACACTAAATGCACACAGTGCTTCACATGAAGTGTTTGCACTACAAACTAAATTATAAGCTTCTTTAGGGTGAGAACAGGGTCACATGTTCCTTTATGTCCTATACTGGACCTGGTATTGTGCTAAGCCTAGGAGCTGCTCAAAACATCAAAACTTTGAAGGGCTGGGGATTTAGCTCAGTGGTTTTACCGCCTGCTGCGCAAACACAAGGACCCGAGTTTGATCCCCGGTACCAAAAAAACCAAAAAACCAAACAAACAAACAAACAAAAAAACTGACATAAAACTTTGGAAAAAAATTTTTTAAAAAAATATACAGTAGTACCTGATTGGGTAACTCCAATTCCATCTTCTGTTGACTGGTTCTGGCACTATGAAGACAAATGGCCAGAAGAGCTTCCAAAAGTCGTATGCCATGAAGCGAGGTCTCACTTTCTCGATTTGTAAATTGCTTTGCTTCCTCAGGAACAGCTCCAGAGGTTAAAATTTGCTCCACATTTATGGAAGAAATAGGCAGTGACTCTAGTTTACTTAAACTGTCGGCAGTCTTCTTTAGACTTCCCGATTCTGATAGTGTGGAGTCACTTTTTAGAGTCAAAGATGATAACTCTTCCTTCATAGCTGTCTCAGGGTGACAAGTTCTGGTTAAGTCTTGGTTTTCATTTGCATTCATATCTTCCTGCTTTCTTCCTTGCTCATCTTCATGATTTCTCAATAGTTTCTGTATTATCATAAGTATTAATTTATGGCACACTCGGAAACCACCAAGACTATGGAACTGTTTCTGGAAGACTGAGCTTAACATGTAGATCCAATGACACATAGACCACACATCTGCTGCCTGGTGCATACATTCTGGAGATGGGAGGACAAGGCTTTCAAGAGACAAACATGGCAGCACATGACTCAGTGGCTCGCTGGCTGTACTGTCATAGCCAGAAGTGTCTTCTGACTCATTGGCCGACTCCCTATCAGACTCTGCTTCTTTACTTACACAAAAAAATGCCACACAGAGGAAGAGGTTTATGGTGTTGATATGCACATCCTGGTGACCAGTCTTCCGTTTCTTTGAATAAGCTTCTTTGAGACTGGCATAAAATTTGCTGAGGCTCTGAGGAGAACTTGAATAAGCTTGCTGGTTATTAAAAGGAAGACCTACATTTGAAGATGATGGTTCTTTCTGTTCAACATCTAGTCCATCAACCCCTGGAATTGAAGCATCTTTCTGTGGTTCTCCTAGACTGATGATCAGTGTTTCAAATGCTTTTAGGGAATGACTTCGAATACCATCTAAGTAATTTAATTCAATTATTTGATTTACTCCATTACAACTTAAAAACAAATCTCTTATTACCCTGTGAGAGAAAGTAGAAAACAAAAAGATTTTATACAGAGAAACATCACTTATAGTAGGTACATATACTACTTAAATACGTTGTTGCCACATTTGGTAGATGTTAACACTACCTAATCTGATTAATTATCTGCTTAAAGTTGTTAAATATTAACCAGGACTCCAAGTTACTTTCTAATTGCCCTCATATCCTTCTCAAAACACTGCATATATGGCTCTGGAAGTATTTGAAAAGAGAGGACTACATGCAATCCAAATTAAATGAGGTAATTTAAGGAAGAGTATTTTTCTCCAAATGGCAAATTCTATATAAATTTAAGTGCCAAAATCATCAATATACTCAAGAGCAGACAGTCATTTGTTCATCTGACTGCTTAACAGCCCAATCAAGATTTTTCATTTGTCTTACATTTGCACTTCATTAAGGGAAAGAACCCAACTATAGCAATAAAAATTAAAATTTTCTATCATGTGAATGAAGTTCAGCATTACATGAGTTTCCTTAAGTTCAATTATAGTTTGGCTATTTGATATAAGTCAACAATGCAAATATTAAAGAAGGTTTTCAGGGGTGTGGGGATATAGCTCAGTTGTGATGGAGGGTTTGCCTAGCATGGGGTCCTGGGTACAATCCCCAGTACAGAGAGAGAGAGAGAGAGAGAGAGAGAGAGAGAGAGAGAGAGGTTTTCAGCTTTGTCTCACGAAAGACTTGTGTTTAGACCACTTAAATCCATCCTATTAATAACTTTAACATAAATCAACTCAGTGATTCCCAGTCCTTATTTTGCAAGGATTTAGATTGCCCACAAATATGCCAAGGATAAAACAAAGTCAGTTCTACTTGGACAATAACAAAATAGCAGAATTTTAAAAAGATGTCTGTAAGGCAATGATTCAACATTAACATTAAAGTAGTTGTAGTAAGATGAAAATTTAAAAGTCACACATAAAGATGATTATAGGTGATATTTTCAGTTTTTAAAATACTATATGCAGTGCTCGCTTTGGCAGCACATATAATAAAATACTATATGCATTAATTTGAAAGGCCAATCTATCTATACGAACCAGCTTTATTTATAAAATTATTTTTTAAATGTACCAGACTTGACAATCACAAAAACTGGAATTAAAAGTAATTTTAATTTTTCTTCTCTTCATTTGTATTTTCCATTGCTTCTCAGTCTTTTGGCTAAGATAAAGTGTATTTGTATTTTCCATTTTTATAAATGTATTTCTTAGGTAGTAAATATAAATATGATGTTTAAAAAGTAATCCCAGCTAGGTATAGTGGATATATACTCAGGAGGCTGAGGGAAGAAGATTATAAATTCAAGACCAGCCTTGGCAACATAGCAAGACCCTGTCTCAAATGATAATAATAAACAAGTAACAACAACAACACTGCCTCAATAAATAATTATCATTTTATGTATGTGCATATTTTACACAGTTGTAAATAAGTAAATGTTATTTTAAACTTTATTTTAACATTAAAGTGTTATAAGAATTTTCTGCTGGTCCAACATGATCTCTGTAAATATTTTTAATGGTTAATAATATTTCATCAAATAAATATAAAATAACTAATTTAATCTTTACCCTTTCCCTAGTTCTGTGTTGCATCCATTTTTTTCCCTGAGAAACACATCTAAAATTATACTTTTGTTAGCTGAGAAATTAAGATCAATTGCTGTATCCTCTCCACTATAACTACTCCCAGTAAAAACAAATAAATAAAAGGTTGAAAATATCTGACATGGGATGGGATCCTTGCTTGTTAATAAATGAAAATTAAATTCTAGGAAAGAATATAATAAATATATATTACACTACTGATGAGGGTGTGGAGGTATCATGATTAGAATTTCAAATGCATACACTTTATCTCACATTCAAAAACATTCAATAAGGAAAAGGAGCTGCATATCTGCGTCCATACAAACCTGGATTTAAGTAGGATAGGCAGAGTTTTTAAATAGATTTGCAGCACTTCCTGAGGCAAACACTGTTTCGGATGGCTACACATATGAGTTCGTGCTGAAGTAATGCTCAGGTGTTGACAATGATGTGCTAATTCAACTCCTCTTTGGAGCACAGGATTAAATATATAATTATACAATTTCCACTGAACAACTACATTGCCTTTCTGGATTAAATTGCAAATGTGATTTGCAATCTGTATGTTATATAATCTGTCTTCTTCAAAAACAAAGTCCTGATAAGCCTCTAATGCATCCCATTTCCACAAAAGGTCTTCAGCCCCACTGCTTGGTAGGATCCCTTGACATCTGTAAGAAGGACTGGATAAACTTGAGTGAGGTTCAGCACCACATGAGTTGCCCTGTAGGGTCCCTTCTAGCTTAGCCAGCTGGTCAGAGTCAACAGTGCAAATGTTGCAAGCTGCTTTTTTAATTTTCTGAGATATCTCGGCTCCTCCTAATTGATCCAAAATAAGTTTGTTAAGGATATTCAATATATGCTGCTGAAAATTTTTCAGTGTTGGCAATTTAAAAGCATGAAGCAAAGGGATGATTACAGATTTGGGGTCCATACAGCAGCATATGCCAACACTGTGCACACCTGCCAGAATCTGGACACAGGTGCTGCTCAAGGAAGCTTGCTGTAGCAGGCGCAAGCACTGATGTGCACATACTGCAATGCAGCAGCACCGCTCAGGGTAATGAACATCTCCATCTGCAGTCTCTTCAAACGGGTTTTTGGAAACTTGGTTTTTAAAAGCTGAAACCAGAAGACCTGAGAGATCTCTGTGATGATGCATAAAGTGAGAATATTCACAGCGTCTATGCCTTTTTCTTGTACACACTGAGTGATGAAGTTGCTCTGATTTCACTTTTTTGACAGTACTCATGATTTTCATCACACTATTTATTAGGGCTTTCAAATGTTCTGAGGCCTCAGGAGGAACTCCATCTCTTGAAACCAGCCATTCCATCTGAAGAACTGCTGCTTCAAATAGATTAAATCCTTGGTGCTGAACGAATTCTTGAACCAAATCCATGGCTTGACTGCAGTAGAAGGGATTTGAAGCTGCACTTTGAAGACAACAGATCAGGATTTGTAGAACCCCTTCCAAAAGCTCAGGTAAAAGAAGGGCCCTGTGCCGATGCTGTGAAAACACAAAGCCTTCCTGGACTTCCTGTAGTGTTTTCTTTTGTCTTGGTGCAAAGGGGTCAGGCTGCTTTTCTAAGCAAGATCTGATTTTTAAAGCTGCCCTAAGCAATTCAGTTAAATTCTTTCTAAGACTCTCTGGCATCACCTCTGTGGTACTGATATCTACTGACATAAGATGCAACACTGTTCGAAAGAGCATCCGCTGAACCAAAGCCATTGGTTCTTCAGTCCAACCTGCAGAAACCACTCGACTCTCCAAGCTGTCGCTTAGGTTGCAGCAGTCCCCAAAGCTTGCTAGGAATTCAGTCAGTGTGGGTACTACACTGGCTGCCAGGGCAGAATTATGATTCAACATAATGTCAAACTTACAAACTTTTTCCAATAAAGATAACAGAACATGACATAAGTCAAATGGAGAGTTATTCATGCTACTGAGAATAGACAAGGCAGCTGGTTCACTTAAAATGTCAGCATTTGACTCCTGTCTTGGGATAATCTCTCTGGAGTTTTCCAAAGCCATCATGTCAGGAGAAGCCGGCTCTTTTGTTGCAGAGGGGTCGAGTTTAGCTGTGAGGGGGGCTTCTTTAGAAGACTGTGTTACAAAATGCTGAAGTACATGGGGCCTTCTGGGCTTATTCACGGTTGTACTTTTCTCATCTGAATTGCCTTCCGAATCTGACGTGGAGAGCTGTGTCTTTCTTGCATCTCTTACGGAATAACGATGGGTGCTTTTACGCTGTCGTCTGCCTTTTCGAAAGATGTTTATTTTTGTAGAAACCTGATTAGATGGGGCACTTCCTCCCAAATATAATTTTTCCTGAGCAGGTCTTTGTGAACTTGAGTTCTTTTCTTTGGTCAGGATTATATTGGATGACAATGGCAGATTAAAATCTAATGAAATGAAGAAAGAAGACTTAGAATACCTTAGAATATGCTGTTAAACTCAATTTATGCAGGCAATGATCCCCTTATTTATCATCTACTTCAGGAGTCTAGACTCTGATACTTTTGCTACAGGGCTATTTTCCTTCAGTTATGTTAGGTCTCTGGGTCACTTCTTCCCACACTTACCCTTCTCACTCTAAAAACACCAGGTGATATTAACTCAAAGGATCTAAACTGATTTTGAAAATAACAGAAGGGAATAGAATCAGGAAAGTCAATTTGACTTAAAGCCATCTATTGCATTCTAATGTCAAAGTAAGAGACTCTTTGGATTGATTATCTGAGATTTAATAGTGCTGTTCACACCATTTTACAAATCTCTTTCAATAGTGCCACATTAAGGTGCATTATACTCTCAAAAGTAGTATTTAGTTTAGAGCCTTTAAGAACTTTAAAAATTTCCAAAATTATTTCAAAATCATACAGTGTAGGTCTGGGGATTTAGCTCAGTGGTGCCACCACCTGCCTCACAAGTGCAAGGTCCCAAGTTTGATCCAAAAAAAAAAAAAAAAATCATACAGTGTATACCAAATGTTTACCAAGACTGAGGTTAAAAGGGTTCTGCATTGGAAATACTTCTCCAATGCCTCATGCACTAAACTAGGCACCAGGCATAGACATCACCATTTCAAACTCAGTCCCTAGAGCTAAGTCCTGTAATGTAGTTAATACTCAATGACAATTTCTTAGAGAAATGAATGAATCCTTCTTACCAATTAAGAAGACAATTAAATTAACATTTCCCTTTGCAATAACACATAATAAGATCTAAATGAAAAATACAGTTGCAACTTAGAGTGAATAAATAAAAATCTGTAAATAGAAGACTTATACTTTAATTAGGAGATGGAAAACAAACTAGTGAGAGGAGAAATTAAAAGGAATATGACAAACACCACCAAAGCAAAAGATAAAGACAACAAAGACAACTTCTCTAAAAGGACACTAATCAAATTCCTTAAGTGTTTAATAGTTTTTGAACTCTACAAATTCAGAAAAAAGAGCAAAAAAAGAACAGAGAGAAAAATGATATTACAATATCTTATATAACTTTCTGAAACAATATGATGAGACTTTAGGTAACTCCCTAAAAAGAAGCCTATATCAGAAATTTACTAAAACTATAAACAAGGGATTAAAATATAACGTAGGAGGATTTTTAACCTCACATCTCACAATTTACATATCCAAACACTGTTGATCTTTCCACTGAAATATTTGAAGTTTCATGTATTTTTATAAATAGTTTTTTTTCAAGTCAGAAATTTTAAAATATCTATTGGTCCTAAGTGTAAAAAGTCTACCCAACCTTGAAACAAAATATTACAGTATTTCGAATTTATCCTTTAAAAGCAACATTAGAAAAACCAAACTAAAACAAATTCTGCAAAAATTATTTCTAGAGCAATGTAATAGAAAGCAATCTTAAGCAAAGGAAGTTTAATTTCTTTCTTCAAAATTTTCACTGTTCATTTTTTCTGATATGTGGCATACTTAAGTTTACTCCTTTTGACAAATGTTGCTGCTTTTTCATACATTTTCTAATCATTATTACATTTGAATAATCCCCAAGAGGAAACATACCCGTTGCCTGCTGTTCCTGAACCGGTATCTTCCATACCAGGGGAAGGAGCGACAGAAGAAGAGTCAAGAGTTCTTCTCTGCATGTCAACGCCTGTGTCAGATACAAAAGTCTTTCATGTTCTAAGCGCATGAGACACATTAATTCTTAATATGTTATCTTAAATTGAGCCCCAGAACCCTTTTTCTTGAAAGGGTACATTTAAGAAGCTAAAAATCAAATTAACCTATCTTAAGTCCAATTCAAACTGTGACACTTTCCAATTTATAAGCTTTTCTAATGACAGAAGAATGTAAGAGTATCTGATGGTATTTAGCACATTCTTGCTGTTATTACCACCATGCACATTACAAGAATTCCTCCCCTATGAAAAAACAGACTTGTTAGGTGAAAATGAAAAGTTAAGCCCTGTTAATTAGCAAATGAATAACACAAAGTTACTAAAAAAGGTAAGTCTTCATGCAGTTAAATGTAAGACTCAGAAAATTTTTTTAAAGAAATTGGCATTATTAATAAATAATATATATAAAGACAGAAACTTATTAGTTAAAGTTATCCAATAAATATTTATTGATTGCACACTATATCTGCAGGACTTACAGTCTTACCCTTTCTGAAGTAATGGTGCAAGCCCTGGAGAAGGTTCTCTCACTTGGTCCACAAAATACATAGACACAAAGAAGAACAATAGAAGCCATGTAGTTGCGTACGTCCCCAGGGGTGGAACAGATATTCAGGTTAGGAATTCAGGAAAATGAGCAGTCATTATCAGAGTGTGGAAGTAAGATCAGAACCAGAGAACTAAACCTAGGTCACATGGGATATGGGTGGCCAAGGACTTAATGACCAGTCGAGTTAGAATTCATCCCTCACACAAATCTGTGGGGAAGGGTCAGGAGATACAATCAGATTTGCTGGACAGAGTGGGGTAAAGGGGAGCAATCAGTATTAGAGGCAGGGAAACACTAGCCCAAATGAGAGAAATAGTGACTATCTGAAATATTCCAACAGAAGAGGTGGAAAAGCAGGTGTATTTGAGAAATTGTCAGGTAGAACTGATATGACTCACAGTTGATTTTCTGAGGCAAAGGCAGAAAAAAAGATCTAAAAAGACTCCTCACAAATTTCCGCTTTAGGCAACTAGGTGGCTGATAAGGTATTCACTAAGACAGGAAGCTCAGAATGCTATCAGCTTGAGGTAAAGATTATGTTTATTTTTTAGATATACTGAGTCTGAGATGCTTGCGGGATATCTAAATGGAGAGTTTTTCAAGTAGACATAGATATATAGATGTGGAACTTTTTTTAAAAAGATGTGAATAAAAAGATTTGGGAGTCATTGGGGTAGAAGTCAAGGAAATGCAGGAAGTTCCTCAGAAACCAGATGCAGCCTGAGGAGAGGAGATGATGGGAATGGTGTGCAGGACAGCATTTAAAGAATGAAGGGTGGGCTTAGCCTGCAAAGGAAACTGAGAAGTCACCCCCGCCCTGGCCCCAGCCAAACAGAAGTGGAACCAGAGAAACCAAGAAAGAGAGCAGTTCAGGAAATAAGAGTCAAAAGCTACTGTTCTTGAACTGTGTAAGATGATGGGTAAAAGGCAATTAGTAACTGCAGGGGACCTGGTGACCTTCTAATGAATGATTATGGTGCAAATTCCATTACAGTAGGCTGAGGAGTCAACAGAAGGGAGGAAATGTACATGGTCTTTTTAAAAAGTCAATCACTTTGCGGCTCATCATTCCTGTAGAGTCCTGTTCATCTGACCCTTTACCTTTAGGAGATGAACTCAAAGCACTCCAATGGAACTTGCAGAAACCTCAAAGATGTGCAAAGAAATTCTAAAAACATGCTGTTCTCAATTTAGCTCCTGCTCTACAACAGTACACTGACAAATCATCCCTAGTGTGTGAGGAGGCATTCCTGCCCGCTGGCCTCTGCGTGACACATGGTCTGCACCATTCTGCACTCCTTCCCAGTAGCTAAGGGCTCCCTACCACCTTCCAGGCTCAGCTCTGACACTGGCTCTTCAGTGAAGTTTCTCTCCCAAACCAACCCAAGACTACTGCTCTCCTCAATGGACTAGTTTGTGGAAATCATGAGCCCTCTAAAAGGATGAGATTGCAGCAGGTACAGATTTTTGTTTTCTTGACCCCCTTGCTGGAATTTCAGTCTTAAGGGGGGACCCTGTCCCATTCTGGACCCTGAAACAACAGAGGGGGAAATGATCTTTGTTTCATGCTCAGTTACCATCATTTCTAACTCAATTCACCATCAGGGCAGTTCTCCCTAATCCTCTGGAACTATTACTTTTTTAGGTATCGAAAATTCCCAGGTTTATTTAACCTTTTTCTGCTTCCAATGAAAGCACATATTCAATTCTGTCCTAGAAATCATAAAATCTTTTATTTGTAGATACCCTGAAAAACTAAAACCTGTAGCCTTCTGTTTCAAATCAAGCCCTAAATTTATCTACCAAGGTCCTAAGTATACACAATAGTCACAGAATCTAGGGGAATGGAATGTTCCCTCATGTCAGTAAAGTGGAAATTTTCCTATCTGCCATGGTAGGCAATACACGTATGCCATATACAGATCCATTACATGGCTGTTTCTAAACTGTCAAACCTATAGAAATCAGTTAATATCATACCATTCCTTATTTAATACTTACATTTTTGTCTCCCCTTCTGAAGGGGAAATGACTGTGTCATATGTTTTAAAATTCCTCATAACAACAATAAACAGTAAAAATCACTCTCATTGAGTTGACACTTTTTAAATTCAATTCAAGAAATATATTTGAAGTATCTACCAGGTACTAGGCACTGGCTGTTTTCATACTTGTATTGCTTCAAATGGATTTTAAATTGCCTATCTAGCTAGCCCCCAGAAGCAGTAGTGGTAAGTAATCAGGAGAGGGGAGGAAGGCTGAAATCCTAAAGCAGACTAGTGTCTAGGAAGCTGCAGAGATAGGCAGGCACCTGACAGTGGGGTTCAAGAACCTCCAGGTGGCCGGGGATTTAGCTCAATGGTTCCACTGCCTGCCTTACAAGTACAAGGTCCCTAGTTCGATCCCTGGTACCAAAAAAAAAAAAAAGAGCTTGTAAACAAGAACCTCCAGATGATGTGCCAAGGAACTTGGACTATATCCATAAAATGAGGGAGAATTACTGAGGTTATTATAATTGTTATTATTGCTATTACATTGTCAGTCTCTTGACATTAAATTTCATATTCTAGACATAAGCAGGAATTTATGTGAATGTGCTGTTCTTTTATTTTTCCATCAGAATTCTATAATTATTTCTAATATGTATGTTACATATATGTGAAAGTTTCATTAGAACTATAAAACCTTTTTTCTTCATTTCTACCTATATAACTAGGAAATAATGTAAGTTTGTCTTATATTTTACAACTTTGTTGAATAGTATTCTGGATGATTTTTTTCCTATCTTTCTATATACATCACTTTATTTTTTGGTACCAGGGATCAAACTCTGGACCTTGTGCTTGCAAGGCAGGCACAGCACCACTTAGCTAAATCCCCAGCCCCTTATGTACATCACTTTAACAAACAGTGTTTTTATTTAACAATCTTTCCCACGTTTAGCTGCCATTACTTTCATATTCCACTTTACTACTGTATTTCCTTAAACCATGATATCAAATAGAAACAGTAATAAAGAGATGCTTACATTGGTCCTATGTACAATTTCTTATGGTGGTACTTGCCTGTAATCTCAGAACTCTGGGAAGCTAAGGCAGAAGTTCAGATTGCAAGTTGAAGCTCTGCCCAGGCAATTTAACAACTTACTGAGACCTGTCTTAAAATTAATAAAAGGCTGGTAATATACCTCAGTGAGAAGGCCCTGGTTTCAATTCCCAGTACTAGAAAAAAAATTGGTTTTCCTACTATGTATATAAAAGAAACTCTCTGTTCTTAATTTGTTTTTAGAACGTTTTGTTAAGAATAGATGAATTTTGTCTTTTTGGGGGGGAGTGCTGGAGACACTAGAGGTCTTGTGTACTAAGTACATGTTCTATCACTAAGCTAGCTACACCTCCAGTCCTGTCAAATGTTTTTGATGTCTCAGAGTAGTTATATGTACTTTTCTAATTGATGTCAAACATTAAACTGATAGTTTTTCTTGAATTAAACCAGGAATTGCAAACATTTTTATAAAGAACCAGATAGTAAATATTTTAGGCTTTATGAGTCATATATGGACTCTCACATTTTCCGCTGTTTCTGTTACAACCCTTTAAAATGCAAAAACAATTCTTAGCATATGGGCTGTACAAAAACAGGTCAATGCCAGAATATCTGCCAATCTACAGGCTGTAGTTTGCCCAACTAGCTCCCCTCCCCCATTCCTTCTCTGCCCCTCTCAGCAAAGAACGGTCATTAAGTGGCCATAACACTGTTAGGACACCAGAAAGACTTCAGGTGTTATCTTGCAGACTTGTGAGCTAGATAAAAGTGCTAGTAAGAATCCTGAGGGCACTGTACCACACAAGCCTTCTATGCTCAAGGTAGAGAGAGTAGAAAAACATTTATAGATACAGCTTTTGTAGCATGAAGCCATTACGATTCAGAGAAACCCACAATTCTTTTAAAAATTACTTTATTTTGGGGCTGGGGATTTAGCTCAGTGGTGCCTGCGCCTGCTTTCCAAGTACAAGGTCCTTAGTTTGATTCCCAGTACCAAGAAAAAAAAATTACATTATTTAAAAATACTAACAGCTTTGCCCAATAGGGACAGAAACAGTAAAAACTAAAAAGATGTCTCTGGACCCCCACCTTTCTCATATGCAGGAACAAGGTGAAAAAGCAATCTATATGGAAAAGTTACTTCGGGAGATAGAATAAGATCCTGGAGAATCATGGACTAGGAACTACTCACGGTCAAGAAAAACATATTCCAGGCCTCTGGAGGGCCTGACAACATGTGTCTGACTGGATTTCAGAACTGCTTATGGCTCAGGGACTGGTTTGTGCCTCCTGTCCTCCTTGCTGAATACAAATATCTATGTGATTACCTTGCCTCATCTCAACACTACAATAGGGTATGTAGCAGATAATTTATCT